TTCGAGCGGGCCCATTGCCCAAGGCTTACATCAATCAAATAGCAAAGTCACTTCTGTTCTATGTTATATGTTATTTTCAGACATGCTCACACCGACTTTCCTGGATGCACCTGACCTTGTTTATGTACGACGGGGAAGCAGTAACCATTGACAAAGAGAAAGAGTGTGTTTGTGCACGTATGTGTGTGTTCTCCTGCTACCTCTGTCAATTCTGTGGCTTGTGTAAATCAGTATGTGTGCGTGTGTGCGTGTGTGCGTGTGTGCGTGTGTGCGTGTGTGTGTGCTCTTTTCCTCGTCCTCTCCGCCTCCTCCCCCAGCTCTATGTCCGCTTTCACCTCTGCGTCGCTTCCTAGGGACCACCACCATCATCATGGTTGGCAGCAATAGCCATCTTAATTTGACTTCCTCATTTTCCACCTTCATCCAGTCAAGTTCCTCCTCCTCATCCTCCTCCTCATGTTTCACTAAGAAAAAGACAAGTATATGTCCCGCTACCTTTTTCTTTGGGTGGGGGAGGGCTACCTTTGTTTTTTTTTTTTGGTGGGGGGGGGGGGGGGCTCCTTTTTTTTTTTTTTTTTTTTTTTTTGGCGGGGGGGGGGGGCTACCTTTTTTTGGGGGGAAGAGGGAGGGATACTACATCAGTAAATTACTAATCAACAGAGTCCTGAGCCTTTTTCAGTACAACTCTCTCTCTCTCTCTCTCTCTCTCTCTCTCTCTCTCTCTCTCTCTCTCTCTCTCTCTCTCTCTCTCTCTCTCTAACACACACACACACACACACACCCCTACCTTCAGAAGAATTTTCTTCACTCGAACAAAATGCCCCAGCACATTACTGGGACCTTTGTATACCCTTCATGACGTATCTTCCATTTGTATACGTTATGTCATGTTCAGGTGAAGAAGGTTATGTCATGTTCAGGCGACGAAGGTAGAATCTCACCAATCTTATCCCTCTCCCTCACCATCAAGCCATCCCGAGCCTCAGCTACCAACTTACCACCGCTAACGGAACGGTGTTCGCTACTGAAAGCAACTGACTGACAGCGATCTCTGCGCGATTACAAGCTCGCTTTCTCACTAAACGCAGGCGACAATTTGGTACATTTGGCCAAAAAATCAAATCCTCTCTTTCTCTCCAGGCCTCCCGCTGCCGTTTCACACCACCGTTAATCTCTCTCTAAGTCTCCCGGCCTCCCCCACCTCCTCCTCCTCTTCTTCGTCCTCTTCCTCTTCTTCGTTCTCTTCCTCTTCTTAGTCCTCCTCCTCTTCTTAGTCCTCCTCCTCGTCTTCTTCCTTCTCCACGATGGCACGTCATCAACATCGCGCAGGCAACGCCAACCTACCTCCGGAATGGCGGCGTCATCAAAAATAAAAAACAATTGCTTCTCCCGAAGTGAGCTCCACGATGAAAGCCGAAGATGATGATGATGATGATGATGATGATGATGACAATTCCCGATCGGTCTACAATTATTATTATCATTATTATTATTATTATTATTATTATTATTATTATTATTATTATATTAATTTATTATTATTATTCATTTATTTTATTATTATTATAAAATGATTATGATTATTATTATTATTTTCCTATATTTGCTTTCTTTTCCCTTTCTGGCAAATGTCAATTCGATGATCTTGAGTGTTTGGTTTTTCTTAATTTGAGTTGATTACGTTTATTGTCAGGGAAAGAAAGAGCGCAGAGGAGGAGGAGAGGAGCAACGGGAGCAGGAGGAGGAAGAGGAGGAGGAGGAGGCGGAGGCGGAGGTGGAGGTGGAGGTGGAGGTGGAGGTAGAGGCGGAAAAGGAAGAGATCGTCTTGGAAAGGAAGGCGTCATAGCTGGATCTCGATCTACCGTTTTCTGCCCGAATAGAACGCACGGTCATTACCACTGTATCTAGCCTGAAACACAGCTATAATGACGACGGTAGTCCCTGAAATGGGCCTGAGGGAGCCAGAGCATACTCACGCAAGGACGTTTTCGACTGAGCTCTGCACGTAATTGCGATCAGATTCATCCAGGCCCGGCTGTAATTGCGATCAGATGCATCCAGGACAAGTCTTAATGTGAGCTTGCCCTCAATCTGAAGATTCCGTGCGTCTGATCCGGGGGGGGAGACTCGGCAGACGGTTGCCCGATCGAGGAACCGAGGCGATCAATCAAACTACGGTCCTCCCTACAACACTGCGCACCCTCTCATCAAGACGGTATCGGAGGGGAAAGATGGCTTGTATACATTCGCCATCAGCTCCGTTATGTTCGGGGCAAGACGGTAGCAATTGTTTGATTGATCGCTTAATTGAAGGCATCGATCACTGACTTGATTGCTCTTCCTTTGATTGCACTTAGCTTCCTTGCTCTTCGCTTGCTTGCTCTTCTTGCTCTCTTGATTGCTTCTCGCTTGATTGCTCGCTTGATTGCTGGCTTCATTGCTCGCTTGATTGCTGGCTTGATTGCTCGCTTGTATACATTCGTAATCAGGGTGCGTTATGTTCGCGGCAAGACGGTAGCAATTGTTTGATTGATCTCTTAATTGAAGGGATCGATCACTCGTTTGATTGCTCTTCGCTTGATTGCTCGCTTGATTGCTGGCTTGATTGCTCGCTTGTATACATTCGTAATCAGGGTGCGTTATGTTCGCGGCAAGAC